GGACGCATTTGTTTGGTGCCTTTTTTGGCTGCACTTTTTTTTATTATTTATTTTAAACTAAGTTTCATGACTGGTTTGATTTTCCTGCTCGTCGGATGTGAGAGCGGATTTTTAAACAGACGGCATCTAATTTGTATTACAGTCACTTTTAATGGACGTTTTATCTGCTTTTACAGGTTATCCACCTGCCCACAACACATCACCCATGGACCGACCGATCTCGCCCCGCGAACTCTTTCAAAATGATATACAATTAACAACTGGCGTCAATCCCCCTTCCTAACCTGTTAACACCAATGTCCCCCGGACTTCACCACTGTCAAAGAACTACCACAGAACTCATACTTTTAGAGAAACTTCTTAACATGTCATGACAGATCATTCAACAGCACAGCTAATATCCATCTCCGTTCGTAGACACTCACAAGCGCCTCTCACTGCAAATCTGGGTTCCAATCGCTGTCCTCACCCTCATCATGCTCTTGCCCCGGGGCGTACCTTCACGCGCGCCCGGTGCAGCTGCTCCTCCCGGTCCCGCTTGTGCTCGTTCCCTCCACCTCAGTCCCGAAGCCCACTGACCATACCCAGACGGCGTGGTGCAAGGCCAGAGGCCACACAACAACACTGCCTCCTCGCCCGCAGTTGGTGAGAGGCGGTGCGCAAGTACGCTCGGGGAGCTTCCCACTCTAAATCACGCTGGCTCGCCGTGCTACAACCTACTGCGGAACCCCGGGGTGATCTCTGTGGCCCAGACGCGCACCGGATACCCCCAGCGCTGTGCCCTGCTGTGGGGGGTCCGTGGCGCTCTGGACCGGAGGTAATCCCCAGATGCGAGACCACAAAGCAGGTCCTACGCTGTGGTGCCCGGGGGACCTTCTGCGCCCTGGCACGCGTGGTGTCCTCCCGTATGACGGCTGCATCGCTCGGCAGGGGTCCCTGCGCCGTGCAGCCGCAGAGTCCTCCCGTAAGTGCTGCTCGCCCGCTGGGGGGGGCTCTGCGCTTTATCTCAGCGCGGATTCTCCCCCGCTGAAGGGCTTCTCGCCGCTGGAGGATTCTCTCCGCCCGTGCATGTCCCTCCCACAATCCGACCTCACTACCACCTCACCTACCCCGCAGAGGCGCCGTTAGGTCTCCGGCGCCCTCATCTGCGCCTCTGCGGCTCACGGGCGCGAAGCTGCTCTGCTCCGGCGCAGCCCTACGCTTCCGGGCCCCTGCTCTCCAGCCCCGGGCCCTACTCCAGTCACACCCTCCCCTCAACGACCTCTTTGCCTCCAGACTAGACACTCCGGGTGGAGATTCTATCATACAAACTCTTGTAAGTTTCTCAAATGCCTTCTCTCACTCTTTCCCAGAGCCACTGTCCCCACCAACCTCACTAAACGACCCGCACTTCCTACAACAGCACCCCCCACAATAACCCGGTCAATAATTCTTGTGGTACAAAATATGCGGCACTCCGCCAATCTGATATCACCATTAATCCATTTTAGACCTTTTAAACCTTTTATCATAATCCGAAAAAAGTGTTTTTATCTCGGGCCCTCTGCCCACGTTGGATAAACCGGGGCGTGGTACGTGTTTAGCAGGATACTACACTCACCCTGGCTTCAAAAATCACACACTGAACAACTTTGGTGTATTGACAATTTTAATTTTTTTCTGGAACCGCCACCCCTTCTTCACACCCATTGGACTCCATATCTAATATACTCGGCACCCGGACCTGGATTTCAAATACATCACCCACTTCAGTTCATTCCCCACCCGACCTCTGGAAACCCATCACTCATCCCACCATCAGTCCTGCCCCGGACTCCAGACATCTGTACCGCTCCCCCCGCCTGCTAAGGGAAATTCAGTTTCTGTCCCAGACCCAGCACCTACAACAGTCCATACTCCGTAACCGTCCCTCAACCCCTCTATCCCTTTGCCCTTTTCTCCTCCAGCATCATCTGCTACCCACTCACTACAAACAAAAAATGACTCTCCATCCACCACAGTTTGCTCTTTTAAATGTACGGACTCTCTTGTAAATAGAATTATCATTTAATGTATTTGTTTTTCCAATCATAAAACTGGATGATATGTGTTTAATAGACCTGCTGGGGTCCGATGCTCCGGATGTTCTCACACAGAGGCCTCCCCTCCGATTGTAGTATTTTCTTTTAGAAACAAGAGAAGGAAATAGTTGGTGGCCATCAGCCTAAATTTGGAAAAACACCATGGCCATCCGAAGAAACAATTAATTTGAATCCTTACTAAAGTTTTGATAATATGCCTTGTTTTTAGCTGCGCGCCGAAATTTTAAGCAGTACCATCTATCGCCACCAAAAAAAAGTGCTGCCGTTTTATCTATGAATTTGTCAGTGTTTTTATCTTTTTTATACTACTTACCTAGAATATGGATTTGTTTTAACCGGTGGATTTTTACATCCACTTTGAAAACCCTTCTTCCAGTTGTACCTGAGTGTTTGAAGTTATTTTATTGACATGATTTTACACAACTTGGTCACTCAGACGACGCACATTCATGGAGACACCCTCGACATGGTCATACTTATGGGCCTATTGCGGTGGGTCCTCCTTTGTTGACCTGGCGATGCTCTGACCACTATTGTGGTTTGTTTTCAAATCACTGTTTTGTTAACCTGGTGACCTCTGGAGAAATGGGGAAAAAGAATAAGACAATCTCGTCTAACCCCTGAAGTGGCTGCAAATTGTATGGTAACATTCTAAATAACTCTCCTCAGTTGGTTTTACCTGCCCCCTGTGATTTTTATAAGCAGATGAGTTTAACATGAACTAAGAACTACACTGATCAGTTGCTCCATGTAAATAATTGTAAACATTCATCAAAAATCTATACCCCTTGAAATTGAGGAAGCAAGGAGTTATGATATTAACTGTGCTGGACTAGCGGTAGTTTAATATATAAAACACAATCAATCTCATATATATTAAATCCGACACAAATTTACAACAACACTTACAGTTCAAACAAAAGACATTATTAGGATAAATGTGTACAGTTATTTACAAGAAAACACGTGGGCAGAGGATCCTGACACTTGGATCAGTCCTGTACCAAGAGTTCTGTGTAGGGTCTAATGAGCACTGATTGGATTTCAACCTGTTTTTTAATTGAGTCCTAAATGTGTTAATGTGTCCTCATTACCCAGACCAAATGGACAACACAAACTATACAAGCACAAAGTTTAACATGTACATTGATAGACTCATAGAATCAAAACATATATTATTTTTAAATATTGTAATTGCAACTTTATTACTTTAAATTCCAGTTAAAAAAAAAGAGAAATGTTTCACATGAAGTATACAGCTCAAATAAGGAGATATATGCCACAAAACAGCACCTACGGAATGTGATACAATTTAATCTTTTTGAGCAGTGTGACGTGTTTGATGACATACCTGGTCATTACTTATGGCCTGAGTGCGGGTGTGTCCTCTGTTGTTGACTTGGCTATCTCTGACCACTATTGTGTGTTTTTTAAAATCACTGGTTTTGTTAAACAGGAGACCTCTGTGAGAACTGTGAAGAAACGACGTCTAACCCCTGAATTGGCTGCAAATTTTATTGACATTCTAAATAACACTCACTTTTAACAGTAGACTAAGAACTACACTGGATCAGGTTGCTCCATTAAAAATTGTAACCATTCAACAAAAATCTATAGCCCCTTGGAAAAATGAGGAAGCAAGGAGTATGAAAGGAGAGTGCAGAATGGCAGAACGAAGGTGGAGGAAAAATAAAACGACAATCAATCACGGAATATATAAAAACCAACAGCAAATTTACAACAACACAATCAGGAAAAACAGGAACAATTACTTTGCAAAGCTAATCAGCCAGAACTAAAATAATCAAAAAATCCTCTTTTCAACCATCGACACCATTTTAAACCCTGATTTTAGCATGTCTCTTTTAACCCCCACAGACTCCTTCTGTGAGGATTTTGCAGTCCATTTCATGGGGAAGATAAATACAATCAGATGTAACATTTTATACAATCACACTACTGTTTTTAACACATCTGATTGTTTGTCTTCGCCAGAGGAAACACTGGACAGTTTTGTCCTGGTTGATGCTGAGTTGCTTGATAAAGTTTTCTCCTCAGTGAGGCCCACCTCATGTC